CTGGCGGTCAGTTTCAGCAGCGGCTGAATCTGGACGCCAGTTCCGACTTACATACAGATTCAACTTAAGAACAAACCTACAGTCCCTATCTTGTACGTAACCTGGGGACTGCCTGTTCCTACACTCGATATCTTCACATGGTCCTTGGCATTCACTCCTCAGGGAAGGGCAACCAAGGGCCATTCAAATTTGAACAGACTCAAACTTAATCCCTTCATCAAAAATTTCTAAGAACAGAAATTTGACGAAGAGTGAATGAGCGCACCTGCAGCCTACGTATGGACAAGAGTGGGAGACTGTTGATTTAAACCCAAAGAGCTGGCTGAACATTGCTATTGCTGGGCGGGAGTGGGGGGTTGCTCTCTGTTGGCTAACCCAGTATGGAAGGAAGTAAGGTTACTGCACAGTAAAGCTGTTCAGGATCCGATTTAAATTATGCAACAAGGACTTGCTTTTTTTTCCCTCCTCAGGAGGATTATTTGCTAAATGCTCCATTTCCATTCTGTTAGTTCAACCCCTGATGCTGATACTGGGAATCTTGATATAATACATTAAGAGCTAAATTCATCCTCATCATAAGGAGGATGCAGTTTACAGTGTATGAATGGAAGTCACACCCATTTTCACCAGGACTAGATTTGGTCCTAAAACTCGACGTGAAGGTGAAGGCCCAGGGACTTTGCTGAATAGATCCATTCTGACTGGAAGTCTGCATAAAACTCACCACCCACTTCTGCAGGGATGTCTACAACAGATCATCCCAGATATGTTGCCTGTAATATTGCTGTAATGCCATAGTTATAACAGTAGATCAGAATATGCACACTCAGTAAGCACTGCATAAAACCTGCCTCTACTTAGGTTATTCTGAAGTGCTGCTCAAAAGATGGAGAAAGATTTTCTCTGAGTATTAAATAATTCCACCTCTTTACCGTTCTTTGCATGAGTGCAATCTAACCTGATTCCTGTAGACTAGAGAAAAGAAGTAGGGATATATGGGGAGTGCATTCAGAGGGCTATTACAAGAAGGGAATTACAACAGAGGCTATCAATTAAACACATATGTACACCCTTCCCCCCCACCTGCAATTAAACACACACACGTGGCTTTACTTGGATTCCCCAGGCCATGAAACATTCCGTTTTTGTGATCTACAGGGCTGCTGATGGGGTGAGGGGGATACAAAAGGGGCAATTGCCTTGCAGCCCAGCAATTTAAAAGGATCTTGGGCTCTGGTCCACTACTTTAGCAGCAGTAGAAGCCGGAGCTCCATGCAGCATAGTCTGGGCAGCACTGAGGGCTGGCTGGGGAGGCCAACTTCTAGCCCCACCCCTTCCACCTAAAGCCTCACCTTTTCTGGGGAATCCTGAACTGAGCTCCACCCTCACCACAGATTGCCTACGGCTCAGCGAAGTCTGTTGCCAGCCCTAGTGACCTATAAGCTGCAAGAACACAAGCTTCATATCACCTGGCGCTCCTAAAAGTCATATGGGTCCAATTAGCATGTCTGTGGCTAGTGTATTTCTGTGACCGGCCTCTTATGCAAGAGCAAAGGCAGGATTCTGGTCACCAGCACACAGTGCTAGAAAACTCCGCAATATCTACGGGGTCTCCCTACAATTTTGATAAAGATTTTTTTTGTCCTGGACTTAAACAGAACATAGGTAACAATTGCGTCATTGCTGATTTTCACAGTTGCCTCTGCTGCTCTGGGTTCCTTCTGGAAGCAAAGTTGTCACAAGAGAAGCTGTCTGCACCCTGGTTCTGGAAATCCCATGAAAAAACCTGTTCTGGCCCAATTTGGCAGATCAGTTATATGTAAAGTACAGAGGTTGAACTTCACCATCTGCTGAATGCATTGAGGTCATCTGCTACTATAGTAAAGTATCAGAAAACTCACACCCCAAGGGTTACATCGTTAGGAACTCATTGGGCTAAAATGACAGGTGAGGGGTTCAGAAAACAACATCCACGAAAAATATAAATCTCAGATTCTTGCTATAGGGAATTTACAGCCCTAGAGACCTAAGACCTGTAGTTATCCACAGAGCAAACCTGCCAACATTCCTCAACACTGACCTAGAAAAACCACCTCTAGGGATTTCTGACAATAGCTAGTGCCAAATGCATCAGGGGGAATGAACAGAACAGGCAATTAGCAAGAGACCCATCCCCCATCATCCAGTTCCAGCTTCAGCCAGTTGGAGGTTTAGGAATACCCAGAGCATGGGGCTGTGTCCCTGACCATCTTAGATAATTGGCATTGATGGACCCATCCTCCATGAACTTATCCAATTCTTCTCTGAACCTGCTTACACTTTTGGCCTTCACAACAAATACTACAGATGACTGTGGTTGTGTTTCTTATAGCTATTTTAAACCTGCTACCTATTAATTTCAATGGGCAAACCCAGGTTATTGTGTTAAATGAAGGGATAAATAACACTTCCTTGTCACTTTCTCTACACTATCCATGATTTTTTAGACCTCTATTATTATCTCTCCTTAGTTGTTTCTTTTCTAAGCTTTTGCCTTCTCTACCAACTTTGACAAGCAGATGGCCAAGTCATGTCACCCATGACACAGAGTTAGACTGACACCTCCCCCATGAAATTCATTTCCCATCAAGCACTGCATCAAGCACTGACCAAAACATAAAAAATATTGTCCTAGACTAGAGATGCTGTAGTGCCCTCGAGGCACATCCCAATGCTAGTTCTCTGAGCCATTCAGAATGTGGTACACTGATGGAGGATGGCACACTGAATATAGTGGCATCATTATGAACAGTACCTCTGAACTGGACCTCGCCATACTCCTGTGAATTCAAAAAGGCAAGAATTGTCTCCAAGTGTCAGCCTCCCTGCACCCCACTCTCCCAAGTTGCCTTTGCAGATTGCGCTCTCAGCCCTCTAGAAAGGGATGTCACCCATCTAGCAGCCTCTGATAAATTCCTGAGCAACAGAAGAGTTGATGCAACTAGATGGCCTTGCTTTTGTCATTGCTGGCATCAGAAGAAGGTTCTGCAGCCTTGAGAATGATGTGTTAGCAGAGAGAATTAGCCAAGCCTGAAATCCTCTGGTTTCCCCCCAATACAAGGCTAAATGAAACTGCACCCAGTTTCTCACTGATTTAACATGAGCAACATTTAGCAAGGCCACATTCCTTGAAGCCCAAGGGACAAAAAAACATGCAGTGAGCTCAGATGGGCTGGGAAAGTCTAACACTGTCTACCCATTTCTTAGCAATATGCCCATAGAGTGAAAGCACACAAAGTCAAATGACATAAGTGTATACCAAATGCTCTGAAGTTTCCAGTGTAGCTGCCCAGAAGAACGTACTGTACTGTATTTAGGCTCAGTTGCATTCAGTATGCTCTTGGAAAGCCCATCTAGTAAGCAGAGGGTGAACAGATTGATTAGGAATATCTCTGAGACAGCAGAAGCATCAGCTAGGAGTGCCTATGCAATGTGTTTATCCCCAGCTGTGCTATGCAGCCCACGAAGAAATCAGTGGAAACAGAAGAGAAGGACCAAGGTCCAGCAATTTTCATTCCCCTCTACCATTCCCAAATCCATTGGACAGAAGGTGTGGAAGACTTGACTGTAATGAGTGGTACCTGATCAATCCTTCAGAAACAGGTGGAAATAATTACCCATGAAAACTCCACAATGGGGGACTGAGTGGAAATTCCTTCCCTCCATCAAGCTTATTGATCAGGTTAACTTTGCAACAGTGATCCAGAATTACCCTGATTGTGTCTAGCACCATCTGTGCTCTTAGATCAGTGAATAACTAGCATTAATCATCACTATTATGCCCGTGTTACAGTATCTCTGTAGGTAACTGTTCTCTTAAGCCTAGTATAGTAACTCAAATTGTCCGGCATCCAGTGGTCTGGCACTCCCGATAGTCTGGCACCAACTGGAACCCAGAAGTGCTCCAGCCAGCCGGACAATTGGAGCTGCTCTGTACCACTTCCCCAGCCGCTGCTGAAACTGACCAGCTGAGGACTTAGGGAAGCGGCGCGGAGCAGAGTAGCTGGGGTGCTGCTGGGTTGGTCCCACAGCACCACCGCTCCTCACCCCCTTGCTTGGCTCCCGGCAGCACCCCAGCTACTCTGCCCCCATAGTTTCC